GCCTCTCAAATAACTTTAATCACTGATTAGGATTCCTTGTTCACAAAGAAGCTACTTAAAAGTAATTGCTCAATAAAGAGAGGGGAAGTTGTCGTATTAAGTAGGTCTTCCTGCTGCTTCTCTCATTAGTGCTCACTTGGAGCTTTCAACTCCCTATTGTCACAAATGGAGCCAGCTTCATTCACAGCACTGAAGCCGTTCTCACTCTGCCTAGTTCACACTGCTTTAAAGCCTGACAGCATAAGCATGGCGCAAACCCACAGAACAGAAAGTGCTTAACAGCTCAAACACGTGCTGATTTCAGATTTATTAGAAATAGAAGAAATATTGGCCGCGTAGGTGACGCAGACGGGTTCAGATTTTTTGTGGACTACAACAGAGACCCAGGGATTGAGCCCTGGAGGTGGTGCCTCTGGCTTGGTCAAATTTTTAAATAAACACAGTTGGCTGTGTGGGAAGCCAGTGAGGGACCTGTACTGGTTGGTTTGAAACTGTGAAAAAGATGCAAAATACATCCACAAAGTATTTTATTTAGTAATTTAACATCATCACTATTGCGTGTGTGTGTATACAATATAAGAAAGAGAAGTAGAAAGGTTGGGAGAAAACACATATATCTTTGTAATATGTGAATATATGTTTTGAGGTTTTTTTAGTATGTAGACGTTTTTTTCTGATTTTCGCTGATTTCGTAATATTTCAAAAAAAACACCATGTTTTGGAAAGTTCTGGTTATTTTCTGCTTTTAATATGGAACCATATTTAAAAAAAATAGGAAATAAGTTGAGTTTCTTGTCACTTACTCTCACTTTATCTCATTCTTTTTTTAGACCAGTCTGTGAGTCGGCTACATACAGAAAGTGTGTTTAAATATTATTAACATTAACCAAATTTGCTTCCCTAATGCTAATATTAGCTGCAGCCAGTGCTTGCTTATAGTCAAAATTATTGTGGTACAGATGTTGTTCTGTCAGTCTGGAAGCTTATGTTTGACTAGTTAGCTATGTTCAGTACTGCAAATTCCACCCTGATACTATCCGGGTTATCAGAAAGAACTACTGTGGGGCTTTAAGGGGGCAGGTATTGATCCCAGGAACTGAAACTGGAACTAGGTTTCTGTGGCCATGGAAATGCAGATTAATATATCAAGTTCCTAAAAAAGTTCCTCAAATAGTTCCTGCGGTCATATAGGGTTACATGACACCAAACATGCAGCATGCTGTTTTTTAGTTAGGTTAGTTTTACTGTAATCAGGGTGTCCGCGGGGTTGTAAAAGGTATTAAAAGGTAGTAAATGAAATTAGC